TTATCTCAGTCTGGACCTCTCTGAACTCCAGATGTGTACCTCTGCCTATCCCACACTTCCACTTGGATGTCTGCTAGGCGTCTCAAAGCTAGGTCTACATCTAAACTTTTGATCTTCCTCCTCAAACTACTCCAAAGTATTCCCCATCTCAGTAAACAGCAACGCCATCTCTCTAGTTGCTCAGGTCAAAATTTTGCAGCTGTTCTTGGCTCCTCTCTTTTTCTCATGGGATACATCTAATATGTCAGCTCTTCCAGATGTATCCAGACTCTCACCACTTCTCACCACCACTCTCACTCACATCCCACCTTGGTCCAGGCCACCATCATTTTTTGCTGTGAATATTATAATACCCTCCTAACTGGCCTGCCTGCTTCCACCTGGGCCGGCTCAGTCTAGTCTCAACATAGCATAATTAACATATTTCACATCAGGTCATGTCTCTGCTTTAAACTTCCCAGGGGCTTCTCATTTCAGAGTAAAAGCCAGAGGCTTCAGACTGGCCTACACAGCCCTGCATAATCTGTCCACTCACTGACTCTCCGTCCTCGACTCCCACCATGTTCCCTTCACTCACTCTGCTCCAGCTGCACGGGTCCCCTTGCTGTTTCTGGAACAATCTGGCATGCTCCCACTTGAGGGCCTCTGCACTTGCTACCTGGAATACTCTTCCTCCACGTAATTTTCAAGGCTCGCTCTCTCCCTTCAGTCAACTTTTCTATCCTTTGAGTTGTATTTACATATGTCTTCTCCATAGGTTCTTCTGTATGCAGCTCTCTTAATAGAGTAAGGGTGGCAAATACTGAGTGAGTGGAGGGAAGCCTTTCTAGCATGGCAGCAGTTTGTGGATTCACTATGTCTCCGTCTTATCCCCAGGATCTTGCCATGCAGTGCCCCGTGGTATTCCATAGGCCCTACATAATGCTGTTACACTGCAGGTATGACTTAGTGACTGTTCCAGTACCAGGGATCCATCGCGTTAGTCCCATGTCTCATTTCACTTGTGATTCTCTCTTCATTTCTCAATCTTCTTCCCTTAAACTTTCTTTTGCCCCTCCAACATTTCATTAGTGTGTCTCTTATAGTTTTTCAGAGTCCTTAAATATAACTCAGCATTTTTCCATGTCTCTTAATTTTAACAATTTTAATTGTTGTTTTTTTTATAATTTTATGTATTTATTTATTTTTCCCCCAAAGCCCCAGTAGATAGCCGTATGTCATAGTTGCACATCCTTCCAGTTGCTGCATGTGGGACGCGGCCTCAGCACGGCCGGAGAAGCGGTGGTTGGTGCGCGCCCGGGATCCAAACCCAGGCCGCCAGCAGCGGAGCGCGCGCACTTAACCACTAAGCCACGGGGCTGGCCCCCTAATTGTTAAATATTTAAGTTAAAAAAAAAGCTAAAAAAGTTACTATATTCTTTAGTTGAGTGAATACTTGGAAATGTGTCCAGTTTTTAGAATTACTGTAATGCTCTTTAGTAAGTTCAAAATAGGTGACTGGTGAAGGCTGTAGGAGGTCTAAACACAATTTCACAAAGATAAAGTAAATAAACACTGAGAAATCCACGCAGTTCTGATGAACAGTCACTGCCCACCCCCCACCCGGTGATTGTCAGCACGGTGAATAAACAGAGGGGTCTCATGGGCCGTCTGGATGTGTATGCATTCATTGGCCCGTGAGAGCTCCACACTTAGTTCAACCTCGGGGAAATACACGTCAACAACTCGAGTCTAGGGCCTGGCCCGGTAGCGCAAGCAGTTAAATGCGCGCGCTGCGCTGCAGCGGCCCAGGGTTCGCCAGTTCGGATCCCGGGCGCGCACCAACGCACTGCTTGGCAAGCCATGCTGTGGTGGTGTCCCATATAAAGTGGAGGAAGATGGGCACAGATGTTAGCTCAGGGCCAGTCTTCCTCAGCAAGAAAAAAAAAAGAGGAGGATTGGCAGATGTTAGCACAGGGGTGATCTCCTCACACATACACAAAAAATTCGAGTCTATAAAGTGCATAACCGACATTAAGACTGTAGATGGTTTTCACTTACAGCCTCATTCTCTGTTACCTCAGACTCTGTATTTGCTCTGTGTCCTTCCACCACAAAGAACCCGGCCTTTGTACTCAGACCTGAGTTTGAATCTAGTTTTCCTTCTTATGAATTAGTCTCAGTTCCTTCCATCTACCTTTTTAAGATGGGGTTGATGGATCCACCTCTCAAGGTTGTTGTGAAAATTGCGTGCCAGCACTGTCTTGGTGCTTAATAATGGCTTTTGTTAGTATTATAATCACAGCTTGGATATAGTGTTTAATATGGAAACTTCCAAGCATGCACAAAAGTGGAGAGAATAGCTTTTTGAATCTCAAAGTACACAGCTTCAACAGTTATCCATTGTCAATCTTATTGCCTCTACCCCTCCACCTACTCCCCCCAGATTATTTTAAAACAAATCACAGATATCATGCTATTCATCCATAAATATTATAATACATACTGCTGAAGGATATTCTTTTAAAAGAATAACCATAAAATATCATATCAGAACCAGTAATTCCTAAATGTTGTCAAATATCCCATTAGTATTCAAATTTTCCAATTGTCACATAGGGTTCTTTTTTTTTTTTAACTGTTTGTAAATCAGTATCCAAAATAAGGTCCATACCTTTTGATATGTTATTGGAAATATAATTAAAGTGTAGGAAGAGATTTTGCCGTAAGAATGTTTATTGTGGTATTGTTTAGAATGGAGAAAAAGTAAAATAACTTAATCATAGAAGAGTAAAAAAGGAGTGTATGACCTGAACAATAGAACATATACAGCAATTTAACACAGTAGTGTGGAAAGACTATGTAATCACCAGAAAAAGTTTGGTAAGTGAAAAAAGCAGGTTATAAATCAGTATTTGTACTTTCTTTCTTTTTTTGTTAAAGCATGTATATATCCCGTATGTCTATTTCTGAATGGTGGGGAAATGAGCGATTTTAATTCTCTCTTAAATTTTCAAATTAAATCTTCTCATCTTTCTACAATGGTCATGTATTACTTGTGTATTACAAAGTTATTAAAAATAAAAATGCAGCAGAAGTGCATCTTGGCAGTTTTTTGGTTTCATACGGAGTTAGTTATATTTGGCACGTTATGCTTTCTTCTTACCATGTGTTTTCTCATGTGCTCTGTGAAGTCCTCTGAGGCGAGAAGAGGCAGCAGCCCTGAGAGGGTTTGTGCCTTCACCTGACGCTGGCACGCAGCTCCACAAAAGCACATTCAGATGGCTATTGTTCACTGCCTGGGACATGTGATCTCATGCGGTCTCCATGTGCCATCCTGTGAAGGTGGGAGGCTGAGATGTGCTAGGACTAGTCTTCCTTTTACAGAGCGGGAACTGAGTTGCAGAGAACCTGACTTTTCCTCACACCACCCCTCAGGTTGGTTGTAGGGACAGGTTTTGGTCCAGATGTCTGGCGCTGGTCATAACCATGAGATCACATTTTGCATCTCTTTGGAGTTTCAACATCTCAGTGTAGGTGTGTGAGGGGTGTGATCTGCTTATGTTTGGCCAAGGGAGTACTTAATCCTGTCTCTGTGTAACACATGGCGCCGCATTCTGTGGTTCAGGATCTGACCAAACTTGCTCAGGTTCTCCACACCCAGTTAGGGGAGGATTGGCTTCTACTTGTCTTTGCTTTCTGTGAACTGTTCTCTTTCTATCCACTGTCACCTCCTCTAACCTTTGCTGCCAATGTCTACAGCCCCTGAGTCCCTCTCAGTGAGCGTCCCTTGCCCTCATTTCATGCCTCCTGCAGCTCTCTGAGGCCCTCACCAGGGCCTGTGCAGTCTGTCTGCTGTCCCCGAGCCAAGCACGCCCCGCCCCACCACACTTCTGCTCCCACGGTCTCCTCTTGGCTGTGCTCCATCTGTGCTCTAGAGCTGGTCCGGATCCCTCCTTCTCTGAATTCTTGTCTGAACCTTGCTATTTAGCCATATACTCTTTGTTCTCTAACTATGTCTCTAAATGTGCATCTTTTCTCCCCTAGAAGAGTGTGGGCTCCTTGGAGGCAGACACTGTCAATAATGATGGCTGTAAGAGCTCTGGTGGGTGAGTGGGCAGTTGTGTACCAGGCCCAGAGCTTAGTGATTTACATAATTTCTCATTCAATGATGACAATAAGCCTGTATTATTATCCCAGTTGATAGAAGAAACTGAGGCTCTGAGAGGTTGAGTAACTTGTCCAAGGTCACCCAGCTAGAAAATGGTAGAGCAAGAATTTTAACCATATCTGTCTGACTGCAAAGCCCATGCTTTTCTACACTGCACATACTCTTTGTCACTGTTGCTGCTTGATTCAAATTTCCTTGAGTGTTCTTCACCATGGAGTCCTCATCTCTTGGTGGTAGGAAAGCCTCCTGTGGATAAGAGAGCAGATAATACTCACTCTGGCTGAAGTGTTCAGGGCTTGGCTCCTCTGAGCCCAGATGGTTGGCTACGATGGGAACACTTCAAGCTCTGTGTGTCCCTCCCACCCCTACTTTCTTGCCTCTGCACACCCTTCACCGCCCTACAGCTTCTCTCTCTTGCCCCTTTCCCCGGGGACACCTAAGCAGCCAAAGAATTCTTCCTAGATGACCAGGGGTCCCTGGGGCTGCAGGTCTGATATCTCTTGATAGAGTTGGTAAGAAAATAGGACCAAGGATCAGCAAAAGGCCCTGAGGAGAGAATCCAGACTGAAGAGAGACCCCTCCCCACCAGCTCCCGTACCCTATCTGGACCCTTCCCCTTCACAGCCCCTCTCTCCTTCCCCCAGTCAGAATCCTTGCTTCAGGCTCCCGAGACCTTGGGCTAAGCCCCACCCCTCTCCTGGCATCCTAAAGTTTGGGGGCTGCACTCAAGTGAGAAATTTCCAAGTACGGGTGTGTTGGAGGGACTTGTGAGGGCAGATTGTCCTGGAAGAATGAGGGAAAGGTGGCAGCCACCATCGCTGTCTCGGAGGGCATTGGTGGAGCTCCCTGGGAGACCCTCTGCCCTTTCCCCCTCCCAACAGCCAAGGCGAGCAGGGACCAAGCTTGCTTACTGTCACCTGACACTGGGCAGCCACAGATCCCATTGGTGGAGCCAGATTCGGTCTGGCTCTCTCGTTCTTTCTCGCCTTCTCTGCCTCTCTCTCCTCCGCGCCGCTTTGGTTTCGCTCTTGCCTCTCTCCTCACACTGGGAACATCGCCTCTCCCGGGGGGCAGCGGCAGCTCGCTGCAGAGCCAGTGAGGAGCTGCCTGCAGGGCATGGAAGGAGCCTCTTTGGCAGCTGCGAGAAGAGCGAGAGGAGGGAGCGAGTGCTGCTGCCTGTGACCCAGGCGTCCAGCAGCTGCCCCTCTGCCTGGGGAGCCCATCCACACACTCCTTTCCCTCCCTTCCAGGTCTTTCTCCTGCAGAGCCCGGTGGAGCCAGGTGAGTGCCCTTCTCCCCAGAGCATCCTGCTGTCAATCCCAAGAGGGGCTCGGGTGGCTAGGGGCTAGGAGCTGGGGGCACCAGGGTCCTGCCACTGCCTGCAGTGCCCGCCTGGATTGCCAGGGCTGACAATCTTGTCCCCTTTCCCTCAGACCCTTGGCAGAGGGGTTAACAGCTGGATCTGGTCCCCAGGGCACCAGTCAGTCACCCCGTGACCATTCTGCTGCAGTCAGTGATGCCAACAGGACAGGGGGGTGGGGGGAGCTTTCCCTCTGGCACGCGGGTGGCTTTTCCGAATGAGCATGGGCAGGGGGTGTCTGTGTACAACATGTGTGCACACTCGCAAGGAGACTGGAGGTTTGCTTGCGTAGATAGTTCTGTCTACATGCACTTGTGCTCGTGTGTGGGTTTTAACTGCTGTGTGGCATGTCGAGGAACATATGTTTTTTGCACACATGAGGTACGTGTGTGGAGGGATCACTTATCTGAGCAGCCTGTGGGGAGATGTGGGCGAGGGCAGTGTGAGGCAGTATATTTATGGGGACATATCACTTGTCATGCGTGTGGGAGTACATGTTGAGGGCGGGAGTGTATGCAAGCAGAGGGTTTCTATGTGGGGAGGTGCAACTCCAGAGCAGAAGGGGGCATGTAGGTGGAGAGTGTGGGCAGAAGCCACTGTCTGTGGGCAGAGCCACATAGGTGTGCAAACCTGTTGGCAAGTGCAAGATCGGGGCTGGCAGAGCGTGGCTAGAGACAAACACCTTTTCCAAGTCTGTGTCTTTGAGCCTGGAGAAGACTTGAGAGAGAATACCAGAATATGGGCAGGGGTTGACATGTGTGCACAAATGGGTGTGTGGGTTGCTTGCCTTCTGTGGATGTGGCATGCATGCATGTTAGTGCCTGTGGCTTCCTTTTCTCCCCAAATATGGCTTGTGAGAAGGGGTGCGTGCATATGTGTGTGCGTGAACCTGTGGACGTGAACATCTTGGGGTCTGTGTGGAGGTGACAGCTTGTGGAGGGAAAATTATGGGATGTTCTTACAGTGTGGAAGGTGGTGGAAGGTACCTGAGTGTGTAGGTGAGTGTGCGGGGGCGAGAATATCTGAGGAGTTGTGTGCAGCCTGTGTGTGGCAAGGTGTGAGTGGGCACACTTGGTGCATATGTGTGAGTGTGCCTGCCTGTGTGTGGGTGTGTAAATGCTTGTCCTGGGTGGAATCACACACGAGTGTGGGTGTTTTTCATGTGTTGCCTCAACCTGTCCCTCACACCCTGCCCTTCCCTGATCACCTGGCTTGGAGAAGCGCGGTTCACGCCCACTCCTGGTCCACCCAGGTTTTACTGTTCTCTCAGTCTCACTCACGGCTGCTCTCCCAAGCTAGCATGGGGGAAGCCTCTCAGTGCCCCTAGAACTGTAGGGAGGAAAGGGCGAGCCAGGTCCTGGAGACCCACCACCAAACACGGCTGCCCCATCCCTGGGAAGACCCTGAGAAGAGTATTGAGGCAGGAAGAGGTACCCACCCATAGCGTAGGCTTAGGCGGCACCCCATGTGGGTGGGAGGTGGCCGCTCAGGCCCTCTCTGGGGTGGGAGTGTGTCTGTGTTGGTGTGAGTGGGTACACTGGTGTGTGTGCATGTGGAGAGCACACGTGTGTCTCCCTGGGGAGCTCCTCCCTGGGATCCCGGGGGTGGCAACTCCCTGCTGCTCCACACCTGTCCCCGTGAATTACAAACCAGTTTATTATCATAGAGTTGTTTCTAGACACGCGATCCTGTTCTGTTTTATTTGGGATGGAACCGGTAGCACCCGCATGCTTGTTTGCCATAGGATTCCCTGTGCATGAAGCCACTGGCATTTGGCTGAACTTCACAACAGGCAGTCACATGCTTTAGGGTGGAAAGCTAAGATGAAACAAGGACTCAGGTGACACCCTGGGACAGGTAAGGGCTGTCACTCATATCCTTCACCCTGTGCCTACCACCCAGGCAGCCCACGGATTAATTTAGAGGTGCCAGGCTCCAGAGCAGGTTTAATTGACAGGAAAGTGTGGGTTGGATCTTCTGGAAGCTATAAATAGAAGTACCTGCTTTTGAAGGCACAAGGTACCCTCACCCTTAGTGCCTGGGCAAGGAGAGGAGAGGAAGAGGGAGGGAGGAGAAAAGGAGATGACACTCCGGAAATCTGAGGTGTGCTGGGATGGGCTTGAGGAAGAACCAGGAAAGCGTGAGCTCATCTGGGTACTAAGCCAATGGCCCCGAGAAAGTCCAGCCCTCATTTGTGTTCCTGTCCCAGAGACAGTCCCTCCCCTGTCCTTCTCACTTCCCCACCCCAGTCCCCAGAGCTCCCGTGAGCCAGGCCAAAGTCAAGGCCAGAGGCAGCTCTTCCTAGTAAAGCGCAGGGGAGAGTGAGGGCGGTGTGGCCCTTCACAGCTGGAGGAGAAGCCAGGCCAGGAGTGAGGGAGGGAGGGAAAATGCAGCTGCTGAGAAGCAAAGATAGGAGGAAACACAAATAGTGGTGATACCACGTGCACCCCCACACACATACGTGCCACATATGTGCCACTCGTCTCTCTCTCTCACACACACACACACACACACGCGAGGGGACACAACCTCAGCTTAATCACAAAGAGCTTGGGCTCCAGAGTCAGACAGACGCGAGTTCAAATCGTTTTCTAGCTGTGTGACTTTTGGCAACTTAGTAGCCCCACACTCGCTACCTCATCTGTAAAATGGGGATAATTAGGGTACTTACCTATTGTGAGGCTTGGGTGGGATGATGTTGGATGTTTAGCAATCATTAGCACGTAGTCAGCCCGCAATAGATGTCAAAGGTAAACTAATTATTTAAAAGAGTCAACCAACAGAGGATCTCCTGAAAGAAAGAGTGATAGTTGGAACGTTCTGGGTGGAAGAAGTGCTGTGGCCATGTTGCCCCTCTCACCACAGTGGGCCCATGCACAACTCCGTGGCAGTTGTGCTCCCAGCCCTGCATCATGGTGAGCCCCGCTGAGTCACCCCCGGAGAGGAGAGAGGTCTGAGCCCCAGAGCCCTGGCACTTTTGGCCTCTTGGCTGCCAGCGCCCCCTGCCTGCCTCAACCCTTACACCCATCTTCTCAGCAGGTACTTCCTGTCTCTCCCACGCCTCCTACAGTTCTCTCCACCCCCACTCCTTTCTCTTTTCACGCCTGCTGGCTGAGGGCCCCCCCTCCTCAGCTCCATCTGCTGCAAATCTGTCACAGCCCCGCGTTTGCAGCATTCCCACTACCTCTGCCACCTGTCAGGTGCTGTTTGCACTGCAGACCCCTCCACAGAGAGCCAAGAGCCCTCCGGGGGGCACCCCATCCCACCTTTGGTCCCACTCCTCCAGTCTTCCCCATGCAATCTTTCCATCAGATTTGATGTGCAGGATCCTCAGGATTCCACCTTGTGAGGGATGTTGGGACGAAGACACTCCAGAAAACTCCGTGGTGGGGAGGGAGGTGCTGATTCTTCCTCTCCCCTCAGTCCCCACAGGAGCCAAACCAGAAGGGAGCATGGAGCTGCTGTCCACACCCCACAGCATTGAGGTCAGCAACATCACCTGTGACTCTTTCCGCATCTCCTGGGCCATGGAGAACAGTGACCTGGAGAGGGTCACCCATTACTTCATTGACCTCAACAAGAAGGAGAACAAGCATTCCAACAAGTTCAAGCACCGGGTGAGAGGAGGGTGCCCCAAGCGCCTCTTCCCTGAACCTGTTCTTGAAAGAGGCTGGAGAACAGAAGGCCTGTGGGTGGTGGCTGGGAGTCAGGGAGGGCTGATTCAAATCCAGGCTCTTCTTACCGTGTCATCTTGGAAAAGTTGTTTAACCTCTCTCAGTGCGAGTTCCTTCACTGGTAAAAAGGGAGTAATAATAATGCTGGCCCCCATAGGCTTGTGAGAGGCTTCAGTGGGGTAACGTTTGTGTGGTGTTTGGCTCAGGGCCCAGCACAGAGCAAACAGCAAACACCATTACCGGCATCATGATTGGGGTTTCAGAGGCATTGTGATTGGGGCTTCAGAGGCATTGTGACTGGGGCTTCAGACGGGATGGGGAAACCCGGGGCGGGGTCACAGACATCACACCTGGGGATGGTGTCTCAAGGTCCCACAAAGCCCCCGACTCAGGAAGCGGCCTTGTTGTTGACTGGGTGGGCAATATTGGCTGAGGGCAGGGGTGGGGCCCTTTGCTTGGTCCTCAATGATCCCCCTCAGGCCCTGTGATCCTCTCTGCCCCTGGCCCCTGGCTTATTGTTTGCTGGGTTTAGAAAAGGAGCATGAGCCAGTCCTCTGCTGGCTGGGATATCCTTTCCCTGGGTTAAAGCCGGTGTGGGGGCGGGTGGGAGGAAGGCTCCCATCTTCTCAAGCTGGCAGAGAAGAAGGGGGAAGAGTGAGGTGGGAAGGAGCTGGTTCCCACGACGACTGCATCATGTGGGTTACTCACCCTCTCTCTCTTTGGAACTGGCTCTCCTGATCTGGGTGTCTTTTGGCAGGCCAGTTGCCACGGTGACGTGAATGTTCAACACCACCCCCTTATCCCTCCCTGCTAAAGAAGGCATTTTTTCCCTTCCTCCCTGGCTTCTCAGCATTTGCCGTTGCCGTGGAGACAGTACTGCAGTGTGCAGAGCTCTCGAAGTCTCCCTCGAAAATGAAGGTCTCACCGCCCTCAACTTTGTGGGCCTCTCTCCACCCCAGTGGCCTTTTTCCTCAGTTCCCAAGAGAACAGATGGGCATGGAGGGGTTCAGCGGGGGTGGAGGCTGGGGAGTGTCTGTATGGCCTTCCCAATGACCACTGCTTGCTTCTGCAGGAGAATGGTGGCCAGGCACTGAGCCATTGAATCCTTGAGACTCTGGCCCTCCTCAGGAGGAATGGGGCCATCTGGGGAGTGGGAGGTCCGGGAAAATGCCAAGATTGGGCATGACCCCCAGTTTGACTCTTGGCTCTCTATCTACATGCCATTTTTCAGGATGTCCCCACCAAGCTTGTGGCCAAGGCCGTGCCACTGCCCATGACAGTGAGAGGCCACTGGTTCCTGAGCCCCCGCACGGAGTACAGCGTGGCGGTGCAGACTGCTGTGAAGCAGAGCGACGGGGAGTACCTGGTGTCTGGCTGGAGTGAGACAGTCGAGTTCTGCACTGGGGGTGAGGCCCTGCTGTCCCGCTGCTTTGGCACATCTGGTTCAGTTATGGTCAGCAGACACTTATGAGCACCCGCTGTACACAGGCACCATGCTTAAGCCGTCAGGAAGATACACATGGATGAGACCCACCCCTGCCCCGCCAAAAGCCTGCAGTCTGATGCAGGAGGCAGATGCGTGCTCTATTGATCATGTCGGTGTTACCACTTCCACAAAGGGCTGGAGTTACTTTTCTGGCTTGGGGCAAGCATATGTTTTTTTGAATTGTGGTAAAATACACGTAACATAAAATTTACCATCTTAACCATTTTTAAGTGTACAGTAGTGTTAAGTACATTCACATTGGCATGCGACCGATCTCCAGAAGTTTCTCATCTTCCCAAACTGAAACTCTGTACCCATTAAACAACAGCTCTCTCTTACCCCCTCACTCCAGCTCCTGGCAACCACTATTCCACTTTCTGTCTCTATAAATCTGACTACTCTTGGTACCTCATGTGAGAGGAATCACGCAGTATTTGTCCTTCTGAAATTGGCTTATTTCACTTAGCATGTCCTCAAGGTTCATCCCTGTTGTAGCATGTGTCAGAGTTTCCTTCCTTTTTAAGGCTGGATAATATCCCATTGTATGGGTAGACCACATTTTGTTTATCGATCATCAGTCATGGACACTTCTGGAGCAATCACATTTTGCTTGTCTTGAGCCTCCACTTAGCCTGGGAAAATGATACCTATTCAATGGTGCCACAAACTCGCTTATCCAAACGTAGTTTGCAAATTCCAGCACGAACAAACATGAGGCCTGTGTGTACTTGGTCACTGATGACCCAGGATCTGCCCCATAATATTCCATCTTTTTGGTGTCCAGGGAGAGAACTGCTCCAGATCTCCATCTGTCACAAGGAAGGGGCAGGGAACAATCTTAGCCCTGGGCCTCCGAGCTGCTGGCTCCATCCTCTGCCAAAGTCTATGCCCCAGGTCTCCTTGAGTTGCCGTTCTCTTTTGAGTGGTGCTTTTCCTTAGCTCGGCTGCAAAACCCCACTCTTTGGAGGTACTCCCATTCCTTGCGGGGAAAGCCTCTTGGTTTACCCCAGAATACCACATGTAGTGGGAGGTTAGTTCAAACTGGGGAGCTGAGGATGGTTGCAGTCCTGGCCACACTCTTCTTGCCAAACCAGCACTCTGGCCAGGGCTGCATCAATGAGGAGGAAAGGGCCCCTTTTTCTAGTGTGCACAAAGGTGCTGTCTAGGCCAGCAGCAGCCCCTCCTGGCCCTCCACGGTGTGTGTGGGTCCAGTTTGTCCTCTTTCCAGCCCTCCCTGCTTCTCCTGGGATGCTGAGCAGAGTCATTGCCCCAGACCCTGGTCTGCCGAAACATTCACCTCTGTGAGGCCCAGGCTCCGTTCTTCACAGGCTCTTCGTGAGCCCCCACCCGTAGTTAGAACTGGCTTCCGTGTGGGTGGTCAGGGTAGCCTCCCACCTGCTAGATTTGAGGGGCTTTCCCTAACGGACCTCAAATTCTCCCTTCTCAGTCCTTCTTTTGCCTGCTGGCCCTCTTTTCACGTGAGGATGGCCTGGGATTGCAGCCCCTGGGGCCCCCAGACGGTTGTATAACTGGGCAGCCCCGCCCTTTTCTGACACAGAGAGCCCCGAGCCTCTGGCAATGAGGGTGCAGAGGGGACAAGGACAGACAGCATCTAGCTGTCCATGTTCCTAGCCAGGCCAGCTGGCCCTTTCCCATGTGGTCCAAGGTGCTGTGACTGTTTGGAGTCCCCTGCTGCTCTGAGGACAGAGGTGGTCTGGCGTTCATGGTGTGCGGTGGGTGAGTGGTGGGGAGAGGCTGTGATGCCCAGCCTGGCCCTTGGCTCACCCACCTGGACTCTTGCAGATTATGCCAAGGAGCACCTAGCCCAGCTGCAGGAGAAGGCTGAGCAGATCGCAGGCCGCATGCTCCGCTTCTCCGTCTTCTACCGCAACCATCACAAGGAGTACTTCCAGCACGCCAGGTACAGGCGGCTTCCAGCGGGCCCGCCAGGTCTCTCCTTCCTCCCCCAGCTCTGCCCACGCTCACCCTGGCTGTCTGACATCACCCCCACCCTGTCAATTGCCAGACCCTCCTCCAGCGTCCCCATTCCCTCATATCACAGGCTGGCTCTGGGGGACGGCTGGCTGCTTGGGATTAGACTCCAGGGAAGGAGAGGGCTCTCAGGATGGGGCTGCCTGGGGGAACTGTGCTAACAGGCTTGGGTGAACAAGGTCCTGGGTTCAGTCCTCCTTTGGGACAGTTCCTTTCACTGGGTTCTAATGCTGCAGGCCAGCTGTCTCTCTGATTCAGGCCCTGGGTCCCAAGGGTAGGTGGTGAGGGGAGCACAGTGAGAGGATTCTGATCATGAAGGGTCCTGGTTTGCAAACTGTGTGCTGGGGAGCCTGGAGGCCCCAGGGAGGTATCTCTAGGCACCCTTCAGGGTGGCATCAAGGGGTTGTCAAGGAAATCGGAGGATGAGGCTTGGTGGGCCCCACGCACACCATTTAGCTGGAGCAGCTTCAATTTTATTGCCTATGGCCTGAAATCTATGCATAATTTCCTCTGGGGAGAAAAGAGAGGGGTTCTGTAGTCCAAAAATGTTTGATCCAGTTGATGATCCAATCCAACACCCTCAGCCTGCAGATGGGGAGCCTGAGGCCCAGAGGGCCAGAGAGTCACTAGTCACTTAGGAAGCCAGAACCAGGCAAGAGTGAGGCTGGAACAGAGGCTTCCCATCCTCCCTATACCTACTGACGCCGCTCCAGGTCCATGTCCTTCTAAGGCTGGGCCAGGGCAAGCCGCCCTACCACTGCTTTATCATTGCGTTCAGCTGGGACGGGGCATTCTGACCCTACACCAGGGCTGGGGGACCCAGGGGGGTCTTTGGTGTTTATACTAAAGAAGGGAGGCAGTGAGGTGAGTGGTGAGGCCCTGGCCCAGTTTGGGCTCCTTTGTCAGCAAGCAAGAGAGAGACAGAGACCACCCATACGTGCCAGGATATAAAGATGAAGACAGGCAGAGGCCCCCTCGTGATAACCTCACAGTCTATCGGCGACAGTACAGACAGATTCAATGTAGTAAGTATATGTGTTTGTGGAGTAAAATTCAGTGTCCCACACGTAGTAAGCAGTCAAAATTTTGTTGAATGCAAATGCCTGATGTTCCTGGAAGGTTTTAGAGAGGAGAGGACACCTGTGCTGGGCCTTGAAGGATGATTAGGAGTTTACCAGGCCGGGTGGGAAAAGGTGGGAAGGGCAGTGCAGGCAGATGGAAGAGCACTGCCAAAGCACAGAGGCAGAAAAGAGCCGGGGTGAAGTTCATACAGGGCCAGAGGATGTTACCTGTGGAGTGGGGGTGGTAGGAGGCGGGGCCAGAGACGGGGTCTTGACGGCCTTGCTTTTCGCAAGCCCCATCAAAGGGTTTTAAGCTGAGGAGTGGCAGGTTCAGACCTCTCCTCTGTGAACAAGTAGGCTGGATCCGCTATCTCCAGGTCCCTCCCTGCTCTAGCATTCTGGAATGTTCTATTTGTGACTGGTGGAGGCGGCAGCTGGCAGCTGGGCTGGCTCCCTTCTCAACCACATACAGCAGCCAAGCCTCAGCCCAGCTAACCAGTGGCATTTTCTCTTCCCTTGGGCGTTTTTCTCCGGGGTGGGTAGGACCCACTGTGGGAACATGCTGCAGCCCTACCTGAAGGACAACAGTGGCAGCCACGGCTCCCCGACCAGTGGCATGCTCCACGGCGTCTTCTTCAGCTGCAACACGGAGTTCAACACCGGCCAGCCCCCGCAGGACTCCCCCTACGGCCGCTGGCGCTTCCAGATCCCCGCCCAACGCCTTTTCAACCCCAGCACCAACCTCTACTTTGCAGACTTCTACTGTATGTACACGGCCTACCACTACGCTATCCTGGTGCTGGCCCCCAAGGGCTCCCTGGGGGACCGCTTCTGTCGCGACCGCCTGCCCCTTCTGGACATTGCCTGCAACAAGTTCCTGACCTGCAGCGTGGAGGACGGGGAGCTGGTCTTCCGCCATGCCCAGGACCTCATCCTGGAGGTCATCTACACGGAGCCCGTCGACCTGTCCCTCGGCACCCTGGGCGAGATCAGCGGGCACCAGCTCATGAGTCTGTCCACTGCTGATGCCAAGAAGGACCCCAGCTGCAAGACCTGCAACATCAGTGTGGGCCGCTAGAGACTCCTGGGGAGCCAGGGGGCTAGGGAGAGATGACAGGCAGGGAGGCGATGGGTGGCATAGGTTCAGGGAGCTGGCTTTCTTTCCCCTGCCCCTGTGCTCCCTCCATATCATCAGTCTCCCCCTCTCCCACCCCTTGGTATTAGAGGCAACAGAGGGTAGTCCCCTTGGTAGGAGTGGCCCACCTGTGCCCGGTGGACTTGGAAAGGCTTCTTAGCCTCAGTAGGTTGGGGGGTTGGATTTCTGGAGACTTCCCCTTTCCTCTGGTTTCCCTGTTCTGCAGTTTCTTGCTTCATCCCAGGTCTCCATCTCACGGAGACTTGCGGCTTCCGGGATCTCCCAGGGAAGCCTCTCCGGGCCAAAGCCCACGAGTAGCTTGCCTGCCTGCAGAGGCAATGCAGAAGCTGTGGGGTGCTCTTCCTTAGCCCCACCCACCCCACTCAGGGCCCACACAGAATGCCCCTCCCTACTCAGCTGTCCCAGGGCTGTCCCTCCAGGCCTGCCCTTTCCCTCTATAAATAGTCTCCTGCACTGCTGTGACCCCAGCTGCTCCTTGCCCCTCAGCACCCTCTTCCTGCATGGGGAGAGCTGTCCTCCCCTTCTCCACCTGCCCTCTAGAAAGCGGCCCTCTTTTTCCTCTTGGCTTTGGGGCCCCGGGCCATCGGGATTGTTCCTTTCTTCTGTCTGGAGATGATATAAACCCCGGCGTACTTTCTCCCTTGCTCAGAGCTCTGGGGTTTGGAATGGCAGCCACCGGGGTCAAGGAGGGGGATGGAGACCCCTGAGACCCAGAAGGACCCCTTCCCCAGCTGGGGGTGGGCTGCCTCACGCGCTGAGGGGACCTGTGTGGAACTAGAGCTGAGGGCTCTCCCACAGAGCCCTGGCCCCCCCACCCGGCTGTGCACTTTGCTCGCTCTCTGCCGTGGAGCTGTGACAGCACTGTGCCTGTGTGTCATCTGGACTGTGGCTTCCCTGCCACCTCCCTCCTGCCCATGCCCACTGGCACCATCAGCTCCCCTTCGAGCGTCTTCACAGAGAGCCCCTACCCTGAGGAGTCCTTGGTGGTCTTTCCTGGGCCTCCCAGCGTTTTCCCCTATTTCCCACCTTTGTATGGGTCACGAGGGTGGTGAGGGTGGACCCCCTGAGACAAGCAGACCAGGTGGGTGATGGGGAGAGGTGCTGATGGAGGCAGCTAACTGTTTGGGGGATGATGGAGGCGATACCAGGCGGAGGAGAGAAACCCCACAGTGACGGCCAGATTTCTGTGGTGAAGGACAGAAGGGACCAGCAGGCCAACAGGGCCATGTCTCAATGAGGGGGTCGGGGGGACAGCTGGTCACCTCTTCTGTAGCCACCAGGAGTGGTATGGTCAGCTGTCTCCAGAGCAGGGGTCAGGCCTGGGGGCCCTGGGAGATGTGTGGAGAGGGAGAGGACACGGGCCCCTGGGCCCTTTTCCCTCTGCTGACGGTGTTGCTGTGTGGGTGGCCAGCCGCCCTCCCCTGGTCCCGTGTCTGCCCTGGGCTGGGGCATGCCCGCCTGCGCTGTGCTTGCGTGTGCATCAATAAACCACCATGGCCTGAGAGCCCCCTCTCCTTGGGCTCTGGGCGGGGTGGGGTAGACAAGTTGTTTGATCAGAGGAGCTCAGTGGGGATGCCCCCCAGGACAGGCCACCTGGAGTCATCTCCAAGGGTGTTCCAAATCTTGCTGTGGGAGGCAGGGCTCAAGAAGCAGAGCCACAGCTCCAGCCTGGAAGGGACTTGGGAGGTCATTTGGTCCTACCGCACACTTTGCAGGTGGGGAAACTGAGTCCTCTCAGGGGAGAATCTGTAGCATCTGGAGGCCTCACCAGGGTCCCCAGACCCTCCGTTTGGAGCCCTTCTCCCTGCAGCAGCCTGCCATTGCCTCAGACCCAGATGCCACTGAATTTCCCTCCCCTAGAGCCCAAGCGTCCCCTCCCTAGCAGGGCTCCTCGTTTGCAGATCTGAGTCACCTCTGCATCTGTTATTATGGACTTATTAAAATGATCCTCTGCTGGAGTGGAAAAGCTCCAGAAAAAGTAGAGTCACCTCACTGACACTGCGTGGCTCGGGGCCAAATGAACATGTGTCATCCAGAGCTCCTTGGGCCAGGAAGGAAAGCTGAAGGGTAAGCACCACTTCCTGAGGGCCTACTAGGTGCAGGCATTGGGCCAGGTGCTTTCACACACATCAGCTCCTTTAGTCTTCACAATGGCCCTGCACTATATTATTCCCATTTAACAGATAAAGAAACTGAGGCACAAAGAAGTTAAAAGGCTTGCCCATGTCTTACAGCCAGTAGGTGACAGTGCCCAAGATTTGATTGAGAATCTAGAATCTTCCTATTTCACTGCCCTGGTCTGCCCTAGCATATGCCAGGGGCCACCTGGGACAGTAAGACATAGGCACTGTGTCTCAGACACAGTGGGCCCCCCCCGCATCTCCACATCTCTTCTGCTGACTGAGGCCGTGCCTAGCTCCTGACTAACACCAGGGGGGGCTATGGAGTCGCAGATGCCAGGGAGGCTTGCTCTAAAGAATGGTGGGCAATACTTGGAGAGCAGAATTCCAAGGGTGGGGAGTGACTTCCAGGGTCCATCCTTCCACCTCTGGGCCGGACCCCCACATCCCGAGCTGAGGGGTTTTCAGAGTCCTCCAGAGGTGAGGCTTCAGTCCTCCTTCTGCAAACCCTTCCGGGTTCCTTAGGAGGAGAGATTGGCTCCCGGTGTCCTCTTAGTGCGGGATGAAGGTGGCAAACTGAGGCAGCGGTGGTGGTGGGGCTGCATACAGGTTTCCTCCAGAGAGGGAGAGCCTGCTTTTCCTTCCTCTCTCCAGATGGCTGCTCTCTGGCACATGGCCAGCGCTAGGCTGCTCGAGGCGCCCATCAGACCGAGCTGGGTCAGGGCATCCACCACAGTCTGCCCTAGGTCCCTTCTGGTTTGTGTCCCTCTCATCTGACCTGGTGGAAGGAGAGAGGTCTGTCTACATGCAAGTGCGCGCGCGCGCGCACACACACACACACACATTAGCTCCTGGGCTGGATTTAGAAGAGAGCCTCGGCAGCCAAAGAGAGCTGCAAGGTGAGGGACAACCTTGGACTGCAGCTGCCACTGTCCAGCGGAGGGGCCCTGCGTTAGCCCTGCTTCAGAGCAGGCAGGGAGGGAAAATGAGGTGGTGGCCACCAGGGGTGCTTCCCGGTTACAGGTGGGTGTTCTGCTGTGCAGGCACATAGACACACCCAACACATACGCATGGCCGCACACACTCACCCCCCACACACACACACACACACTGTCTCTCCTCTGCCTAGACCTACACCTTCACGTCCCTGCCTCTCCATTTCCTTCTGGGCCAGCATCTTTCTTTTAATCCTGGATGGATGACAGGGCCCCCCAGGTAGTGGGAGGGGAGGTGCCAGCTCTGAGGCCCCCCACAGTTTCATCTGGCTTTCATATGTGTCTCTTCTCCTCTCCACGTTAGGAAAAGAAGCGGCTGCGGTCCCAAGAAAAGGGACGAGGAGGGACCATTCCCCAAAATGGAGGGAGGGCTTCAGGAAGCTAAGCTAAGGTGATTGGCCATAAAAAAGCTTGGCCACAGCATCTGGAGGAGATTGGAACCAAATGTTCCTGGGATGTGGGGAGGAGAGGGTGTCGAGCTGGGAGGGGGCAGAGCAGGAGAAGCAGGCTGTTCAGCAGGAGACTGGGTTGGGGGCCTCGTGGCTCTCTGGGGAAAACATCTGGCTGCCCTCTTCCCAGCTCCTCAAGCCAGGCACTACTATTTTCGCACACTGGAGCAGCAAATCTTTTCATGGATTCTAGAATCAGCCTTGTGTAGGGACAATCAAGCGAGTATGACTTGGGAGATGCCCAGAAAGCCTACCAGCTAGGCAGAAACATGTCCCCTGCTGCCCCAAAGTCCCACCTTGCTGTGGGTTAAGCATTGCCCTCTCTGGCAGGAGTAGTTCTGCACTGAGCTCCTAGTGCCCGATTGGAAACTAGTGTGCCCAGAAGTTTCCTTTTAGCATAGGAAGAGAGTAGTCCAGGAACTGGAAAATTGTCTGGCAGAGGAAAGGAAAAAAAGGCCCATTTAGGGAGAGCCTCCTATTTGCCAGGCACAGTGACAGGCTTTCTTCAAAGGGCATCTCATTCCTTCCTTGCAGCCCCGTGAGGTGTTATCATCCCATGTGTCTAGATGAAGAAACGGAGGCTCAGACGGTTAAATGACTCACCCAGGGGCACACAGCTGCCAAACAGCAGAGCTTGTGTTCAAAATCAGCTGTGTTTGCATTCAAGCTTGTGACCTTTTCATGACTGAGAAGCATGTGGGGTTAGGGGAAGGGAAGGGAAAAGGAGAAAAAAAGGAGGAAGGCGCCAGTGCAGGACATCTGACTTTCCCTCTTCCAGGATTGAGCCAACAGTCGGCCCTGGAAGCCCCCACCTCTGCTGTGGGCCCCAGTGGCTTCCGGAGCCTGGCCCCTGCCCACCCACTGGCGGCTTGGAGACTAGACCCTGGGTTTTCTTGACTAGGGCAGGAAGCATTGCTGGGGAAGGGTGACAGGCTTGGGGAGCAGAGGCCCAGGGAGGGGACAGCTGGCCAACGCCACAGGGCAAAGCATGACAGAGCCAGTCTCCTGACTGCCAGGAGGCTAGTGCTGTTGACCTGTCCTCCGAGGACCAGAGAGGTGTTCCCAGTAGGAAGAGTCCGAAACTCCAGGGTACGTGGTTGTCTCAACTTGGTTACTGGGGTTGGGAGCACCGTCTAGGGCAAGTCCATCCTAGCTTCCACTGCTGCCCATGCACTCAGGACCCAGGGCGCTGTCTCAGGGGGACCTCAGGGGCTTGGAGACCATTGGAGGAGCAAGGGTGACTTCCTCTGGCATGGAACCCCCGGAGCTGATGGGCAGCTGTACTAGTTGATCTAGTCTAGAACCCTGACGCAGTTAGAAGGTGAGTGAGGGCTGGGCCCTGAGAACATATTAACTGATTAAGTTCTGGAATAGGTATCAACGGCCTGCAGCCAGCTTCTGAGCAGCCCCCACCACCTGGAGGCAGCCTCTGAAGATGGGCCCAGGGAAGACTGGGAAGGCCCACCAGCATGGGTTCCTGAATCATTAGAGGGGTCTCAGTCTACAGTGGGATGGAGTCTTGGGACAGGTATCCAGGGTAGCTGCCTTTGGCTGTTGTCTTGCTGTTCATAGAGGCCCTGTTCAGGGTAGAGGATTGGGTATTCTCTGTGGGCTGGAGCCCCACAGTCTGGATGGGATTATGATCCTGGCTCCTTCTGGATATGTGGCTTGTGAACTGGCAGCGTGGTCCTCTGAGCTTCAGAGGAAACTGGAGGGCTGGTGAGGAAAGCTGTGACCTCCGACTACAAATTCTGCCATGGAGGAGTTGACGCCAAGTTGGTTGGCAAAGCGTCTGGGTGAGATGTCCAGGTGGATCCCATGGTTTGGGGACCTTTCCATTCTGCTGGTGGCCCTGCAGGCTGTCCTGGGCACCCCGATCAGAGGAGGTGGAGGCGTGGGGGAGGCGGGGCTGTGACATCACAACCTGTGACCTCACTGGAGCCATAAGCAGTAACTCCTCCTGGTATTGCCCGCTCCCTCTCGGGGCTTCAAGGCCTCACCTGCCTGTGGTCAGGACCGGAACAGAGGGCTGCAGCCTGAGCGTGGGAGCAGGCTGGCTTCCTGGAAGGAGAGTCTTGCATGCGCATCAGATACTAGCAAAATGTGTTTGGCTTCCACTACTGCTTTCTGCTTAAAGCACCAATGTAGGGTGTACCATGCAATATTGCTCCCTGAGAGTGGGTCCCCTACAGTCCAGACAGCATCTGGCACATCTGCCCCTGCAATAGGGAGGAGCTTGGGGCCCATAAAAGACCTACAGTCCCTCAGGCCAGCCCCGTGGCTTAGCGGTTAAGTGCTCGCGCTCCGCTACTGGTGGCCCGGGTTCAGATTCCGGGCGCACATCGACGCACCACTTCTCCGGCCATGCTGAGGCTGCGTCC